AAAGAAAGAAAGTGGTAAAAAGGAATTTTTGCACACAGTTGGTGGGAATGTCATTTAGCACAGATACTGTAGAAAACAGTATTAAAGACAGAACTACGATCCAATCCAGCAATCCCACCCCTCCATATATATTAAATCAACACATCAGAGAGACACCTGCACATCCACACTCACTGTAGTACAGTAGCCAAGAAAAGGAAGCAACCTCAGCGTCCATCAACTGCTGAATGGACACAAAAAATGCAGTACATATATGCAATGGAATACTATTCAGCCATAAAAAGGAATGCAATCCTGTCATTTCCAACAACACAGATGGAACCAGAGATCATTCTGTGAAATGAAATAGACCAGGCCCAGAAAGCAAGCACCACATGATCTCATTCACACATGCAATCTAAAGCAGGTGAGCTTAGTCGGGATTGGCGGTGGTGCACACCTATAATCCCAGCACTCAGGAGGCTGAGGCAAGAGGATGGCCATGAGTTTGAGGCCAGTCTGAGCTGCATAGCAAGACCCTGTCTCAAAATAAAATCAAATCTCCTAATCTAAAACAGTTCAGCTTGGTAAGCTGAGAGCAGAATGAGGGAAGAGCGGAATAGAGAGGTTGGGCAATGGACACTGAGCTGGGGTTACACAGCAGCAAGATGCTCCGGTGTGCTGTGGCGTGGCCAGGTGACAGCAGGCAACACAGTACACTATAGATTTCAAAGAGCCAGAAGAAAAGATTTTGAATTTTTTTCACCATAAAGAATAAGTGTTTGAAAAGACAGATTTGAGTCAAAAACTACACAATGTGCGCATGTGTCGAGTCACGTGGTACCATGTTAACATGTACAACGGTGTGGCTAAGTATCAGTTTAAAAAACCACAGGCCTGTAATCCTAGCACTCGGGAGGCTGAGGGAAGAGGATCATCGCTGGTTCGAGGCCAGTCTGGGCTACAAAGTGAGCTCAAGGCCAGCCTGAACTGCATAATGAGACCCTGTCTCGAAAAAAAAATAATTAAAGAAAAAGAAAATAACTTAAGGGACAGAAATTCAAAATATAGTTATCTTTCATAATCTTTTAAGTGTAAGTACCACGCGCTAACCGATTGCACCACTGGAGCTCCTTTCATAATCTTTCATAATAAATCAGTTCTGGTAAATTATGAAACCTGAAGAGTGGCTCATAGGAGTGCATTCTGCAGCCAAGCTGGGCAGAAGCGGGGAGGACCCTGGGCTGTGACTGGCATCTGAAGTGGGGGGCAGCTTGTGGGGCTGCACCCTGAATCTGGGGTTTCCACTAGCGTGGGCAGCAGACATCAGAGCCCAGGGCAACCACAGGACCCCTGGGGGCATCTGCTGAGAACCAGGGAACCCCGCACACTGGGTTCAGTCCTGGCTCTGCCCAAGGAAGCGGCACCTTTTGATAAGTCACAGCCCCTTCTGTGCCTATTTGCCCATTTGTGAAATGGAGGCATGGGACATCAGTGATCTCAGCAATGGCAGGAGAGTGTGGGTGCTGCAGCCCAAATTACCACCCCTGTGCCTCAGTCTTCTCTTCTGTAAAATGGGAAGGAGGGGGGCACCTTTGTTCACACTAGCTTGGCACACAGTGAGGGCTCAGAGCGTGCCTGCTACTTTCTGTTTCTCTTAACACCCTTGAGATAAAGGCTCTGAGGTCTCTTGCTAGGGACATAGGAAGACAGATCCGCTCACCAGAGGCCCGGGATCCTCCGAAGGGCTGCTGGCCCACCACGGCACCAGTGGACTTGTCATTGATGTAGAAGTTACCAGCAGCGTTTCTTAGCACCTTTGTGGCTTCCCGGACAACATCCCTAAGTGAGGAGACACAAGTCAGAGGGCACCCAGCCTGCATGCTCTGTCTGTCCTGCCTACCTGTCGGAGCTGAGGAGGGATCAAGAGAAAGCAGGGGTGGCATCAGTACCAGGGACCACCCCCAGGAGGTGAGGAGATAGGCCACAGGGATAAAGGCTCTAGGGACGTGGCCACTCACTGATCCTGGGCGAACACTGCCCCCGTGAGGCCGTAGCTGGTGGTGCTGTCGACGAGCTGCAGGGTCTCCCTGTACTTGTCGTCTGGGTAGACATACACGGTGAGCACAGGCCCGAAGATTTCCTAAGAGAAGCAGTGGTCAGTGTCCCCAAGTCTCCGCAGCCCACAGGGGGAAGGGTGCCACTGTTGCTACTGCAATCAGCTGCCACAGTTGCTGGGTGGCCACACGTGGCCATGAGCAGTAGCAGAGCCAGCAGCTTATGACAGGGACAGAGCACTGGACTTGGAGGAGGAGGCTGCAGCTGAAGTCCTCGCTCTGCTCCCTCCCGGAATGAATGCTCCCTTTAGGACCTGCTCTCTCCTCTGTAATAGGGCAGTGGAAGGGAAACGCCTCACCGTGCCTGTCCTGACCTGGGCCCCGGCAGCCTGTCCAGTTACCTCCTTCATGATGGGCTCCTGAGGATCCTTGCTCTCCACGATGCAGGGCTCCACAAAGTAGCCCACGGAGTCGTCACACTTGCCCCCCGCCAGGATGCTGAGGCTAGGTGAGGAGCGGGCATGCTCCAGCCACTTCTTGATGCGTGCGAAGGACTGGAGCAGGAGAGGCGTGTCAGAGAGGCTGGGGTTGCCAGCAGCAGCCTCCCCACCCCGAGCCCCCAACATCTGTGCCCCAAGGGCTCTGGCTCAGACAAAGCCGACCTGCCTCTGTGTGTGTATGTGCACATGGGAGAGAACTACAGAGGTCTCTGCAAACACACAGACAACGGTAGATCTACATGCGTGGCTATACAGAGATCTGCACTGCCGTGCTCAGAGATATGCACGCATGTATGCACGTGTCCCTGGGTGCACGCAAGCACACAGTAGGTCAGCCCGTGTGCACATGCAGGGACATGCATGCATGGCTCCTGGGCTGCCTTGCTCAGAGTAGCAGGACTGAGTGGTTAGAGCCCCAAGTTAGAGCCCCTGCCATGCTTTCCTCCTCCCAACCCTGGGCTAACTGCCCTTCCTGAAATCCCTGCTTCTCCTCCGTACCTTGGCATCAATCACTGCAGAAAAGAAGGTCCCAAAATCCTCCGTGGGCTGCAGGCAAGGGAGGGAGAGAGCCCGGGAGTGGTGAGCTGCTGTGGCTGGCCAGAGGGAGCCCCTGCCCCACGCCTGTCCCCACGTGTCCTCCCGTGTCCCTCCCTCCTGCACTGCACGCAGAGAGCCAAGCCCCAATCCCATCAGCCACCCGCTGGGCCACTCACATCGCCCACTTTGATCCTGCTGTGCTCCTCCAGCAGCCGCCCTTTGATCTGCGGCCACAGCGAGGTGGGCACGTAGAGGCGCGAGCAGGCGGAGCACTTCTGGCCGCCGTACTCGAAGGCCGAGCGCAGCGTCCCGCTCACCACGCTGTCCACGTCGGCTGAGCGGTGCACGAAGTGGAAGTTCTTCCCGCCACACTCTGCGGGGACAGGATGGAAAATGCATGGGGGCTCCCCGGGCCACAACACAGCCCACACACAGTCCACCTGGTGTCCTGGTCTAGTGCCAGCCTCACAGATCACAAATGAGGAAACAAGTCCAGGAAGGGAGACGGCATCTGAGGGCATCAGTGCCGGGCAGGTCACCATACCCTTCTGCTTGGTTTCTTTGCTCAGTGAAGCGCTTGCCGACAGCACTGGCCCCCTGCCTGGCTCCCGATGAAGCACCTCATGCCACGTTCCCCTGAAGGCCCACAGCTATCTCTGCTATTATTCCCGATGCCAAAGACAAGAGAGCTGGGGCAGAGAGACCAAGATGCACACCCCGGCCGGGCAGTGTAACTTCCTATCGGCTGGCCAAGGAAAGGGGGGTCTGAGAATGGAGACCCTGAATCCCTCGTTCAAGAGGCGCCCTGCTGACCTCATGAAGCTCGGCGGCGCTGGGCGTGGCCGGAGGCTGGGGCAGGGCGGCTGATCTTGCCCCTCCCCCCCACCTCAGGCGCCTCCAGCCCCAGCCCGCTGCCTCTGCACCATGTGACCCGGGCTCCCTTTCCTCAAGGTCACAGCGCTTTCACAATGTGTGTCGCATCCACACGAAGCTTGTGGACATCTGACAGAAAGAAACCATGGGGCTGGTGAGATGGCTCAGTGGTCTAAAGCACCTACTTAGAACAAGCTAAGCTAAGCACAGGGACCGCGGTTCAATCCCCAGCACCACATGCCAGCCAACCCCGCCCCCTGGTGGGCTGAGCTGGCCACACACTAAATAAATAAATAAACAAACAAATAAAATTAAAAAAAGAAAAAAGAAAAGAAACCATGGTCCCTCGGTCACAAGCGCTTGGATACTGGCCAGGGGGGTGCAGGACACTTTGTCACTTCAGATAGTGCTGCCAGCAGGGTGGGGCCTCCAGGACTGCTCACCCCTCCCCACTGTCACCTCCGGCTCCTGCTCTTGTCCCTGGAACTGGAGGATGGGGGGTCTCTTACCTCCAGTCAGGCGTGGGAAGGTGCGGAAGCGGTCCAGGTTCTGTGCCACCTGCTTCCACAGGTGCTTGAAGGTGCTGGAAGCGGGGTGGGGGATGGTCAGGATCTGGGCTCAGACATGGGGGTGAGGGCGGGGCTGGGAAGCTGGTGGAGGGGGTGGGGTCTGCAGCCCAGTAAGGGGTGAGCAGGGGTCACAGGGATAAGAGGGGGCAGCTAGGAAGAGGAGACTGGGCGGCAAGATGGTGCCAAGAAGGTCAAGGCCTCAAAACCTGAAGGTACGGGTTTCTTTCCTGACGCAGATAATACACAGGGCTGTGTGGCCTCCTCAGGCGCATTACTTAACCTCTCTAAGCCTCCAATTCTGCGCTTCACCTAGGAACTGGAGAACAAGCCGCACGAGGCACGGCTGTGCTGTGACTGGCTCCCAGTGAGTCCAGAGTCCTGAGGCCTGTGCAGGGCACCAGGCAGAGGGACAAGCCCCGGCCTACCGCCCCACCACCCCAGCATCCAGGCCCAAGAGGCCAAGCTAAAGAGCATCTGGTAAGAGCCCTCAAGCCTGGGCCCAAGCTGCTACCTCCTCATCAGGCTCCCACTGTGACCAACCTCAGCACCACAAAAACAATAAAAATGCTAATCACCCAGGAGCCTGGGACACGGCAGCTAATACTAATTTATGACTTTCCTACCTTTAAGCCACCGCTCAGCAGAGCGTGGAAGCAGGGACCAGGCCTGCTCTGCCTGCTGATAGGCAGGGACTCAGGGTGCAGGCTGGAAAACAGCCCCCCTCAGCAATTCTTATGTCGCCGCGAGGGGTGGAAGGCGGTGGCAGGGCCTGAGGCAGCTGCTGCAGCTGTCCCGGCAGAACCAGAAGGACCCCAAGCTGTACCCAAACCCCTGCAGCCACACGACCTACCTTCCTCCAAGCTGGCTCACCAGGGCACCCACCTGGGGGAGCACTGCCCCTTCCACCCCCAACCTGGGTACCCTGTCGTCACCTGTCCCTCCACGCCTGGCCTGTGGATTGGCACTGGTTACACAGCTCCCTGCCATGCTCTCACCAGCTCTGCCCAATGTAGCCCTGCTGTCCCAACCCTGCATCGGGGCCATCGACTCGCTGGGTGCCCACAGCTCCCTGCTTCCTGCCTCCCCCCCCAGAGCACCCCTCCCCCCAGAGTGACCATCTAGGACAAAGGTGCCAGGTGGGAGCCTGCAGGCCGCAGGCAGAGGAAGCCATTAGCAGATGAGGCTGCAGGGGCCCAGGAACCAGACAGCACCATCAGCCTGTGGTGCCAATGGAAACACAGGCCTGGGGGCACTGGAGCATCTGGGTTCCAGAGAAGCCAACACTGGGATTTTTATATGAAATGGCTGCAGTGACACAGGTTGGGCCGTCACTACTGAGACTCACAGAACTAGACAGAGCCGCTCACTGGTCCCACCTAAAGACCATCATCCACAACCCTGGTTGGAGACACAGGCCTCTCCTGCTGTCTACAACATTCTGTGGTTCCTGGAAGTCAACTCTAGAATCAAGTCTAGGGTCGCTGAACTAAGCCCCCAAGGGGTGGGACAGAGGTCAAGGACCTCGGCCTCGGGTCAGCGGGTGATGATCTTGGAGACTGTACCTGCCTCTGCCCCAGCCGCCTGCTCCCCTCCATCACCCTCTTGCCCTGTGGCCCCAGAACTCTACACTCCAGCCACATGGACAGGGACCAAGATGCCAGGGATGACATCAGGCCTTTGCCCTCTGGCTCTTCTCTCTCCTAGAATACTCCTCCCCTCCCCCCACCTGGGTGAACTTAGACACTGAGACACCACTTCCTCCAAGAAGCCCACCAGACCCCTCCTTTACTACTGGACCCCCCAGTGACAGTGAAATCAAGATGCCCCCCAAATCAGGGGCTGAACCTTCAGCCAGCAAACACCAGGCAAGGTAAAGACTTCCACTCCCATTGGACGGGTGGAGAAGAGGTTCAGAGAGGTGAGGCGACTTGCCCTGGCCACACAGCAACAGGTGGGCATGGCCAGCATATGGCTTCTGGGTACAACCCAGAGTCTGGGCAGATGGTAGCAGAAGGGGCAGATGCCTGGTAAACTTCCCCTCCACACCACTGTGCCCTACCCCCAGGACTTACGGCACGCTGCCTGTAAAGTTGATGCCGCAGAGGTGCTCCGAGCTGGTGACAGTGTCCCCAAATACGGGCCCGTCCGCTGGTACAAACTGGATGATATTGGGGGGCAGGCCAGCCTCCCGGAGGACACGGTACACGGTGTAGCTGGCCAGCATGGCAGTGTCACTGGGCTTCCACAGAACCACATTGCCCTGGGAGTGTGACCATGATTCACATAGTAAGTCCCCTAACAGCATGGTCACCCCTCACCTGGCCATGTTGTCCGTCACCCAGCCCTGCCCTCCAAGGGTCTACTCTGAGCTCTGGGAGCGCCAGTTCCCTGCTTGGCCAGGGCTACCTCCTCCACAGCCTGCCCTTGCCCCCAGGCAGGTCTGTTCTATGTGGTTCCAGGTAGCACCTGGGTGTGGCTGCTTGCAGGTTCTCTGAGTCCAGGGTTAGACACAGGCACCACAGGCACAGGCGCACCTGCGTGTGCCCTGCACAGGTGCGAATGCCAAGGACATCCTGTATGCACACATGGCACACACTTGTGAGCTTCAGCTCTTGGCTGCCTGCCTGGAGGTCAGACTTTCCCAGCACCAAGTCAGGCTCGCCCTGCCCAGGCTTATCTGCGGAAACCTCAAATGGGGACAGCCACCTCCACTCTACTTGGACAACAGCAATGGGGCCCAATAGCTGCAAGACCACTAGTCTCAAGACAGACTGAGCCCAAAACTAGTCCATCATGTACCAGCCGTGTGCTTTGACAAGTCACCACTGCGTCTCAGCTTTGCATGGGCCAAACACGTTAACTGCAGCCTCGTAAGAGAGAGAATTACAAGAGCCCCGGGCGGCAGCAGGCCCTCCAGCATGACCGCCGTGGGCCCGACCTCACTGGACTCTCCCACTCCTGTAACACGGACTCCCCACTGTTCCCACTTCACAAACAAGGACACCATGATCCCGAGAAGTCTGTCTGAAGTCACCCAGCAAGGAACAAGGCTGAGAGCCAAACTAAGTACCAGACCCTGAAGCCTATCCATGCCCCAAGCCTTCATGATCAGCCCTGCCAGCTCCGTCTGCTGGGACCTGGTGGATGACACACTGCGGTGGGCTATGTCGCTGTCCTTACCATCAAGGCTGGAGTCCCTGACAGGTTGCCACCAATCGCAGTGAAGTTAAAAGGTGAAATGGCTGCCACGAAGCCCTGGGGAAAGGGGAGGCAGTGAGGCTGGGCTGGGGGCTTCCAGCAGCACCCTCCAGGCCCTTCCGTGTGCCCAAGGTACCTCCAGCCCCCGGTACACCACACGGTTGGTGCTAGGCGGCATGCTGACGGGCTGCTCAGCCTCCAGGTCCATAGCAAACTGGGCGTTGAATCGGAAGAAGTCAATGAGCTCCGCCGCAGCATCAGCTTCAGCCTGAATCACCGTCTTTCCCTGCAACATGGGGCTGTGCTCAGCGGAAAGAGAAGAGCCTCCTGGTACGGTGGCAGGCTTTTCCCCACAGCGAGCACAGAGCCCGGCTCCAAGGGGCAGGAGCCTTCACAGGGCCAGCCCAGCCTGAGCAGGGGACTAGCTGGGGGACCAGGGCAGGGACCTCGTGTGCAGGACGCAGAGGGCAGCTTCCCTGCGACAGCAATGCGGCCACCCTAGTCACCGAGGTTTAAGAACTCAAGCCTGGTGGCTGCGATCCCCTTCCTCCTGTCATCCCAGTGGCCAAGGACAGCCGTGGGAAAACGGCTCTGCAAGGCCAAGCCATCTGGGGCTTTTTTAGATGGCACCTGGCCCTTCCTTGGCACACAAAGCCCTTGACTGGTGCACACCCTGAAGCTGAGGCAAGATGGAGAAGCTGAGCTAGGATGTGCAAAGTGTTTCCTCTGAGCTCCTGACTCTTAGGACACTACCACTGAGCTACTGCTCCAACTTAGCAAGACCTGGTCTTGCTAAGTTGCCCAGTTAGAAATCTAAAGCTTAATAGTCCCGGGAGGGTGTGGAGCTGTCATCCCACTTCTGTGCAGCAGAGGGCGCTCCTGCCACAGGGGAGGAGGTGGGTGAGACCTTGCAGGGAACAGGGGAGCAGGTGGGTGAGACCTTGCAGGACCCACGTGGGTGGCACCCAAGATTTCGCTTCTGGACCTGGTGAAGTTAACCCTTTCCCTCCTGGCTGCTTCCTCCCTGACTACACATTAATCCAAGAATCATTTCTCATGGATTTCAGAGACTGCTTGAAGAAGAGCCCCTCACACAAGCAGAACATTTAGGTCTCAAAAAACCAAAATGACATAAAAACATTAAGAATGCAGTACACCCCGGTGTGACTACAGCTGTGATCCAAGAACAGCAAGCTGGGGGGGGAGGGGGGACACAGAACAGAATGAACCCTTGTAGCCCAGGAAGGTTCTAGAAGCATCCAGAGGAGGAGACAGAAGGCTGGAGCAGACAGGGAGGGGTCACTGGGTAGTGGCGGAGAGGATGCCGCAGTGTCCACAGTGTCTCCTTAGTGACATCGTGGGCAGGGCAGCCTGGCAGAGTAGCTGGCAGTCGGCACTGGTTGGGCAGGAAGCCCGGGTGTGGGGCTCACCTCTCAGTGATGGCGGGACCTGAGGGACCTACAAGCTGGGGACAAGCTGCCCTGAGGACGCAGGGGGCCATGGAGCCAGGAATCACTCACTGGAGTCACTGCTGTCTAGAACAGGTGGCCCGGGACAGGGACAGAGGTGGTAAAGAGGAGGGGACGGGACTACGGCTTAGCACAGTCTCTGACCATTTCTGCTCCTCCGTCCTGGCTCCGCGCCTCGTCCCGGCACACATCCCTGGGTCTCCAGCAGGACGGGTGGCCAGAGGCTGCCCAGCTCGTGCCTGCTAACAGAGGGTGAGGTGCGCCTCACCTGCCCCACCATGGTCTTGGCGAGGATCTCGGCCCTGCGCGGCCCACTCAGTATGTCTGCCGCCTTCAAGAAGATCTGGGCCCGGTCTGCAACTGGTTTCAGGTCCCATTCTTTCCTGGCAGCCAAGGCGGCCTCGATGGCCTTGTTGAGCAGAGCCTGATGGGAAAGGAAGTGGTCAGGCCTGCCTCCTGCAACGGATGGTCCCAGGGGAGTAGGTGGGGAAAAGAGATCGGGAAGCTACTCTGCATGGGAAGCCCCCGGCCCCGGCCCTCAGCCCCTTGTCCCCATAGCTGTGCTCAGCCTGTCCCAAGGCTGACTGGGCAGCTCCCGGCTCGGGCCACATCTGGGGGTCAGTCTGAGGCCCGCCCGAGTGACCGCCAGGCTGGCCAGCAGGTGCTGTTCTAGTCTCTCACGGTCTAATCAAGGCCCCAACTTCTTCATGAGGCCCATGGGCCCTGAACCTGCTGCCCAGAGGTTGCACACCCACTGCTGGAACTGCCCTCACTACCGCCTGGCACAGCTCCCAGGCCCTGTCACAGGCCACCCCACCCCCTTCCTGGCTTCACCCATGCCTCCTGCTACCCAGCTTTCCAGAGTCCACTCACTCCCAAGGGCAAAGTCTGCCCCACGGAGGGGGCATGGTGCACAGCCTAGCCCTGGCCAAAGCAAAGCAGCACTCATCTGCCTAGAGTTCACCTGGCCCTGAATTCACCCCCCGAAGATCAGACAGAGAAGCAGCGATTGCAGCCCATCAGAGAGCAGCGGGACTCACCTTGTCTGCATAACAGAACTTGGCAACCTTGCATCCATGGTTAAAAGGCTGGAAAGAAAGCAGAGTGATCTCACTGCCAGGAGTAGGGTGCCGGCGGGGACAGACCCAGTTCAAAGTTTCCATCCAGGGAGGTCCTGGACGTGCTCCCTCCCCTCACTTCCCCAAAGCCTTCTCCAGTGGCTTCTCCCTCCCAAAGGTCACTAGGCACCTGCTGCACACTGAGACGCCACCCCTGCATGGTGTCTGGGTCAGTCCAGGAGGACTACAAGGACCACAGACCACCATCTTTCAGGGAAAGTGTGGAATCTGTGGCCAGACACAGGTTCAAATCCCACCCGGAAGCTGCCTGGCCCTGAGCTTTGCGTAACTTCACATCCCCCGTCCAAGGATCCTGTCTGGGAAGCAGGCACTGAGGCCCACTTGGCACAGTCTGGAGAGCAGGACCGGTGGACCATGGGCAGAGATTCCCTGAGCCAGGTCCAGCACACACTGGCCTTGGGTTCCATCCGGACAGCATGGATGAGAACCCCATTTGCAAAGGAGCCAACCCTTCCCTCTCCCCCAGATTACAGTCCCCTGAGTTTCCTGGCTGCCTGCAGCAGCGCATGGCAGTTTCCAGTTGGATGGCAGACACTGTGTACACCTCCGTCCTCACTGCCACCCCACCTGTGGACAGGACTCGGGTGGGGCTAGGCACCCTCCCTCTGGCCTCTGCAGGTTGTGCTGCGGTGTCCACAGCACTCACGAGCTGGGAGGCAAGCACAGGCTCTGCCTTCTCAGCCACCGGAGGGCGGGACCCAGATGCTGGGAGACACAGCTTCCTGTGTTGGGGGACTTACCGACAGCTGGTACTGCACATCGGAAGTCCACACCTCCTCGTCACCCACCACACATGGGATGGCTTCCGTCCGGCCCTGCAGGTCCTTCAAGGCCTGGGGAAAAGGACCAAAGCATGAATGTGCACTTCTGCCACTCTTCCTATGGCCGAAAACCCTGACACGGAGTCTGCACATGGGGTAGCCGGAGCAGGACGCCAGGCTGGGCCTGCAGTCTCAGGGGACATGTGCACCCTCACCAAGGACTTTTCTCCAGCCTTGGTCTCCCTGCAGGAAGGTCAGGCCTCCCTCACGGTGCACTGCACCTGGACTCTCAGCACTGGAAGATAAAACACTGTACCTGAAACCTGCATGAAATCCCATGATTTCTTTAACTCCTGGCAATTAACTGGAAAATTACTTCAGTATGAAGCATCTGTGCACATGACCTCTGACCTGCGCTAGGATGTCACCCCTTTGTCCTCTGCTACTGCAGGTTCAAGGCCCTCAACTACAGACTACGCAGCCTCCCAGGGCTCAGGCAGGAGCAAGAGGGCCAGGGCTATCTCCCACCAAGTCCTGTTTCCGGGTGCCCCTATCCCGTTACCTTCTGAAGTGCTTCTCGCTCCGGGGTGCCCTTCGTGAACGCTAAGATGGGTTCATTGGCCACCTGCAGGTGCTTCCACCGAAGCCTGGGCACAAGGACAGAGCAGAGACAGACAGGTCAGCAGTGGCCACCGCAGGCCCCCAGCGCCCACTGTGCTGGGTCTTCTGCAATGGCCCAGAAGCCTGAAACCCAAAAGCAAGAGTAGCGCCTAGGGCTGGGGGAGGGGGCCTGGCCTGCAGCCTCAGACCCCAAAGTCCTAGTCCTGCCACTGGGCACTGTCAGGCATGGGACCCACCTCCTCTGGGCCTGTTTCTAAGCTGTCACCTGAGAACCATCTCACCCGCATCACAGAGTTGTGGAGTTCAAGCGTTCTGCACACAGAGAGCTCCTCTGGCTTTATTTCCCACAATGCCCCCTTTATTCTAAGTTACTTCTTTCTCCAAGCTGAAAAGGTGGCACGTTCCTGAGCTGAGTCTCAGAATGAAGTTTCCCTGGCACAAGAGCTGGGCACCCCAGAGGTACAAGGGTGTTCGAGATGTGTGTCATGAACCTGGAAGACTGCCCTGAGCCATGGATGGAGCCAGGGAGGGCTGGTTTGGGGAATCCGTGGCTGGTACTCGAAGGACAGAAGAATTACAAGAAACTGCAGCTTTATTTAAAGAAGGAAAGGAGGGCTGGCCAAATAGCTCTGCAGATTAAAGCACCTACAAGCAGGTGCAGCGGCCTGCCGTGCCAGCCCCGCCCCCAGGGCACGCTGAGGGCATCTGAGACTGGGCGAGGTGATGCACAACTGCGATCCCAGCTCTCGGGAGGCTGCA